AATAGAATTTACCTTGTTCTTTTATTATTATTTTAAATTAGATGTAAAAAATTTTGAAATTGTCCCAGAAATCAGACTTGAAACATAACAAAATCCAGAGCTTAAAAAAAATCTTGTGTGTTTGTAAGTCTATGGCAGGTATGGTTCGTGCACATGACTGAAGACCAATCAAACCAGGGTTCTCTCCCTTGGGTCAGTGAAACCTACTGGTTACTTTGTTTAAATAGAATCGAAATTAATTTCACAATTGGCCAAGGTCCCTTTTGCTGAGCAAACAAATAGTAAAAGACAAATAAATTGAATTAAAGAAACACGAAGTCACATAATCAGTTGTTGCTGCAAACGATCTTTCTTTATCTTTTTTTTTTTTTTTTTAATTTTTACAAATTGAGCTAGGACCTGAATTTGCATTGGCCAAATTTAAACAAAATATATTAACACAATTTGTTTTCTTTTTTTTGTTTTTTTAATTCATTTGAAATTATCCTTGGCTACTTCATGTGACTGTTTTTGGTCATCATAATTTGCTTAGAAAAAGGTTTATTACATGTCGACTCACTGTTATTTTCTCATACATACACACACATTTAAATTTTTCTATATTTATAGGGGAAAACTTTTCAATATCAGAATGCATTTATAAATATAGATAGTATGAACATAGGAATCATGGTTACTGTTTGTTTCACACCTCCAGCAATCTTCAGATGTGATGCTATTCTTTATATAGACTACTCGAGGATTAAAGGAAGTAGGGAAACCAATCCTTGAAAGAAATAATGATACATAGGCTGAAAGATTGCTTGAGCTGTGAAACTGACAGTCATCATGCAGTGTTAATTCTATGTTCGCAATATTCGTGTTATATATATCCCACACACACACACACACACACACACACTTACTTTCCAATTGTATCCATTATTAAGTTGGTAGATTGTATTATGTGTCTAGTTTTTTCAAGACTATATTATTTATTTTTCTAATTTTATGAATCTGATGATCTTTATAACAAGCATTAGATATGAAATAGAATATTGGAGGAGATTAAAAGTATCTTTCTTCATTATGTAAATACTGAGGGCTGCAAATTCTAAGTGCTCTTAAATAGAAGCTGATAATTAATCTACCAATTCAATAATGGCTACAATTGAAAAGAATTTATCTAAATTATGAGCTTTTAGAACAAAGAACATTCCATACTTTCAACATAGTACTTTAGATGCTTTCCTCCCTCCCTCCTAATTAAAATGTTGAACAGGCCCAAAATTTTCCAGCACCCCACCTTGAATAGCATAAAAAATAAGTAGGACTGTCAAAAAATACTTCTGCTTTAAAATATTTTCAATTATAGTTTTATTGATAATGTCTTATCTGTCACTCCAAGAAAATCATTGATTTTCTGATATCATCACCAAAAATGAAGAACTATCCAAAGCTAGACTTAAAAGATCAAAGGGATTTCTTGCAAGGTAACATGTTACCTGCTTCTAATCAGTATTTAAATGATCAAACATCACAATTTTGGATGGCAAGTTTAAAGAAACTTGAGAAATGATATACCAAGTGTATTGGACATTGGGGTGAATGGACATTTGTGGGGGGGGCGTATAAGTTTCTCGGTTCAAGGTCATTCATTCCCTTCTTCGTCTGATCAAGAACTTTTCAGCACCTTGTAAATATGTTTGTAAGACTGACTCCCACCCCCAGGAATTGTCTTGATCATCATTAGAAAAACTTTTATATGTTGCTTCTTTAATGGCTACTACCTTCACATTAGTTGTCTTTACAAGTTAAGGCTACTGAAAACTTGCTTGATCCACTTCTCAAAATTAGTGTAACATTTTTTTTTAAATGAGTGACACACGCACACACACACACAGAGGTTCTGGTTTGAAAATTACTATATATTTTCAAGTTCTGCTGCCTGAAAATCAATCTTATTGTGTAAGAGCTTGTATTTTAAAGACCAGGATTAAATATTTTCAAACTTTTTTTTGTTTTTTCTAAGTTATTTATAAAAATATCTATATGAATTATTTATATAGTCCATATTTGATACGTACATACATATTACTTCAAACACTATAGTGGACACTTCGTATTTGAAATAAGTGCACCCATTTCTTTTTATTAAACGGTGTGTCTGACATCTGTCTATTGGCCTGTGAATTAAAGAAATCTTATGTTTCCCAGCAGGGATCGAACACGCAATCCACTCCCCCATCCCCGGAAACTACCTTTTGATCTAGTATGCATTGCTGCTTGGTCTTGAAGAACATTGCAGTAAGCAAGGCTCTATTTTCCCTTTTAACAGAAAAACACATCCCCTCACTCAGAATATTTTTGATCCCTGCTGCTGAACACATTTTCCTAATTAAGATTTCTTAAATGCACAGACCAATAGATGTAACATGGATACAATTTTATAAAAATTATAGAATTTGGGAGATTTAGACAAATCATTATAGTAATTCATCAAGTGTAGAAAAATCCTCAACAGAATGCAGAAAGCACTGAACAGCTGTTTCGTCCTATTTGGGACTCATCAGCAGTGCATATTCACTACTGAGAATTGAACCTGGACCATTTCAATACAATACAAACATTGTATCAACAGGCCTCAGTGACAAAGAAGAAACTGAATAGATTATAGTGTGGCTACTCACAAATTGCATGATGATACTCATCCAAGTATTCATAACCCAACGGATTGTGCCCCAAGAGCCACGTTTTTCCTTTCTCCTCAACCTCTCCATCACAGAGCATTAGCTGGGTCAAGCTAATTTTATAAAATATATATTTTACTAAAATTAATAAGAACTAATAATTACATTTCAATAAAAATAGTATCAAATCAATAATATTCTAGATCATAAAATCTAATCACATTTCAATAATAATTTTTAAAAAAATATGTATTTTAAATACAGCTGATGTAAAAAAACATCCGCTCACTCTGAATATTTTTGATCCCTGCTGCTGAACACATTTTCCTCATTAAGATTTCTCAAATGCACAAACCAATAGATGTAATGTGCCCTCAAGACCAATAGATGTAACATGCACTGTTTAATAAATACAAATGTCCACTATAACAATGTTAGAAGTAATAAAAATGCCTGATTAAAAATAAATTCATTAGAAATTGTTCAACCATATAATAAAAATAGACTTTTACGGTTTGCTATATTTATGGTGATAGAGCATATATAAATATAAAAGTGGACACTGAGGTCAACAGTCTGTTTCATGCTTGAACTTAATGCTCAGGCCTTCAGATGTTCATTTTTATAGTTGATCCTCATTTTGTGTATCAAATAAAACCAAGAATAGTATGAGGTGCTTAACCCACCATGAAAGTTCAAAAAAAAAAAAAAAAAAAAAATCCTGATGTTTACTCAAGTTTTGGGAAGCAGGTCAGGGTGAGAATTTTTCAACATCTGCTTGTAAAATATCTATACTATTTATGTTGGTGTGTTAGTCAACATTCAATGTGTTTTCAAAGTGTTTAATGTAACCATTCATTCAGATTTGATGAGTTGCACCCACTGAGAATTAAACTCACTATACAACAGTACTTGCCTGCTCGACTTGCAAATTAGAACTTCAAGAGTTTATAGATTTTTTTTTACAGATATTTATTGGATTTGTTACAAGGCCACATTCAAAGAGCATCCAGATAGGAACTGTCAAGGGCTTGCAAGATTAGCTCATTAACCATTGCACTAAACAAGTGTTCTTGTGTATTTTTCATGATAATAACATTTACATATTTCATGACTCACTTTTTGTTGTTCTTTGATTTTGTTGCAAATTCTTCTTGAGTGATTGGGTTTGCTTTACAGCTTATCAGTTCTTTGTCGGATATTGAAAGCCGAAACATTTTTGAATTGTATAAGAATTTTTTTTTTCTTTTTTGGCAAGTTGAAATAGGTAATACAAGAAAATAAATTGGGAATTTCCAGCTAAATATGATACCCATAAAAAAAAAATCAGGGTGTTTAAAAAAAAAAAAAAAATGTAACTTCTCATTTCACTTAGTTATACTAGCAAAATTTTTATATTTAAAAAAATTTTTTACATTTACTTAAAACAAAAATAAAGCAATGTGAGTTTTAAAAAAAAAATGATATGAAATTAAAAAATTAATTTAAAAAAAACGGTTTAAACACTTAAAATGGTGGCTATCTTGTTAATTTTGGAGAAAATGCTAAATTTAGTTATTACTGTTTTAAACACATTTAACATATCAGTATTATTTGAAAAATAAATATATGAAATCATGACAAATGTTTAAAAAAAAAAAAAAAAAAAAAATGTATCCCCAATGTAATTTGACCCAAATTTTACCCAGCAGCATTATGCTGGCAAATTGGTATGTCACATTCCTGTTTTTATCAGGGCAGGGTTCACTTAATTCTGTTTTGTGGTTTGTTTGAGCATGACAAAACCAACAGACAAAAGGTGACATTGGTATTTATATAAGATCAAGTCTATCATGGGTTGGGCTGATGCTACAGAAAAAAAGAACAAAATTTATGGTGAATAGTTGCACATGAAAACATGTTAGGCATTGTGACTTGCAACTGGAAATAATAAGGCATACATGTTTCTGGTAACCCATGTGGGCCATTGAGGCCCCACATGTCATACAGCAGCAAGAGGTGTGTCCCAGGCAAGAGCCCATTCCTCTTGAGAGTGGTTTCAAATTCAGAGTTTTCCTTCTCTAAGACTGGTTACCTACCAATGCTAAAGAACCAGACTGCACAACTATTTCACCCATAGCCATAGTGGCAAGAAGAAATGGATTCATGCCTTTCCCAAAAGCATTTATTGCAAAAAGTCAGAATTTGAATTCAGCTCACTGAATCCGTTTTTCTACAACAACCATTGGACCAAACACATCTCGATAATCATGATAATTGACTCAAAATGAATACTGCAAAGGATTATGTTTTTGAGGTGACTCAGAGGTGTGGATGGGGAACAGTCTGTGATTAGTCATGATCTGATCGAGTATTCCCTGGACAATTGTTCTTTATGTCTTTTTCGTCTGAAAAAAAAAAAAAAAAAAGAAAATCAGTGTCTGTCTATATTTCTGAGATGAGGTATTATGTACAGTATTTACATTAGTCGGACTATTGTCCTCATCTTTATCGCCACTGTGCCATGTGTCCTCAAGGACACATGGCACAGTGGATAAAGGCGTTGGTTAGATCCAGTGACAGACCCAAAGAAGGTGAGTTCAATTCCTGGTTAAGGCAGTGGAGAACTTTCAGAGGGAAAATTAGCAGGAGATAACTGATAACTGACATCCATCAAATATGGCACGTGGAACTAGAACAGTCTACCCCAGTGATCGAAATAAAGGGTTCAGTTCGAAATTCCTACCACCTGAAGAAGGCCGGAGCGTACAACGGCCGAAACGTTGTGACAAATATGGCGACAAAGATGAGGACAATAGTCCGACTAATGTAAATACTGTAAAGAAAATCAGTGTCAGCAAACTTTTTGAAACGATCATTAATAAAAAATATTAAACACCTCAACAAAAATAAGCTTCCGACTAACAAACAGTATGCACTTTAAGGTTCACTGCTGATGTCTTAACATAGGTACCTCCATGAGATTGCTCCAAAAAAAAAAAAAAAAAAAGAGAGCATAGCATGATTAAAAAGACACCAAACTTGACGAAAACAAAATTTTATCACCTAAATGTTTATTATTAAGAGGAAAGATCAAAGTTTATTTCAATTATTTTTTTTAATTTTTCCTTCTTTTTAGAACAATCTGAATTTTCATTTAAAAATCCTTGTTTCTCTTTGTATCATTGGAACTAGTAAAATAGCACATACGATTTTTAGCACATTTTCTTTTTTGCATTACAGACATTAATTTGGAAAATCTTGCAAAAATAAAAATAATTGTCGGATGTTAATGAAACATTCAGAAACTATTCACAGATGATTGAAATTATTGTAAATATGTTTTCTTTTATTAAAGTCATGGCAGAAATATTTTTTTTTCATTTTTATTACCCCAACCAATTTTATGAAAACTCTAGAAATTCAATCGAGTCCACTTTAGTAATTACAATATTTAAAAGCACAAGGCTTTGAGGAATGCAAATAATGTTTTTTTTTGTTTTTAATTAGACCCCCTCCTACCTGAAAATCAGCTCTGAATTGTAACATACAAAACTCAATAAAACAAATATACTACTTAATTTCAAATGCTTTTATTTGCTTTTAGTTTTTATGAATATGGACAATATTTTCTGAAAGCAAAAAAAATTTTCGATAAAAATATGAATTTTTAATACAATTATTTGTTATTTCTTAATTATAATAGATTTTTACATTTAATTTTTTAAAATATAAAATTAGTTAAAAGCCGCATCCACTTTCGTAAGTGTCCTTATGAGATAGATCTTTTTTTAGCGCGTTGTAAATTGTATCGTTTTGACTAATCAGAAGACCCGCAGTAATTAAGAAATGTAATTTTGTGTTTATAATCGAGCTCTAATTATAAAGTACAGAAGACCAAGAATACAATTAAGAATTAACCAGAATACAATTAAGTTACATTATTTGAGTTAAGCATTGTTCTCCGTTGTTAAGACCTTTACTTTTGTGAAACACATGTGGAGAAGTTAATTTGATTTTTCAATTTCAACTGAGAAGGGTTACCTAAAAGTATCAGTATCATCTTATGAAATTTATATGATCTTATTTTCATATTAATCTCAGTTATGGCATTTTTTCCATAAATGAAATATCAAAATTAATAATAAAATGAATGGAAATACAAATAACACAGTAAAATGTAGTAAATGTACATAAAATTATATTTTATGTACACTGATAAAATTTCATAAGAAAGGTACCCATAAATTAATTAGATACCTTTCTTATGAAATTTAACTCTTAACAGTCTTATTTTAATTTCTTTATATTTTCAATAAAGCATCATAAATGTAAAGGTGAAAGCAAAGTACAAAAACAAAAAAAAAATTAGAACGCTGAAAGTTTTCCTTAAAAACGAGGTAAATAATTTGTTCACTTTTCTCCTTCCGTAGAACAAATTATCCTCACGGAATCTGTCAATATGTCATTCATCACCTGTCAAGTGACACAAATGTTTATGACCTGCTTTGTTTTATTTTCGAAATTACATCTTTTCAGTGCAGAAGCTAAGTTAAGCTTGGTTCAAAATATTTTAAATGAACATTATAATTTCTGATTTTCTTAAAATAAGTTTTGAAAAAATGATAATTGATATTTAAAAGAATTTCAAAGTGAGATTTTCATTTTTTTTTATGAAATTAGGAAAAAAATGGTTGCCATCTGTCAATTTTGCTGACTCAAGATTTTTAACGAAAATTTCGGATTTGCTAAGAACAATTAAAAAATGTAAAAAAAAAATACCCCAAACAATACTTTGCTCTTTCTTCTTAATAATAACAAACATTTAGACAATAAAATTTTGTTTTCGTCAAGCGATCTTAACTATTATCATACACAGAATCAGTGAAGCACTTGATGATAAAAAGATCTTGAGTGATAACCCCTACATATCTCAAAGGCTTTTGACAAGGCATGACATGGGTTTGCTACACAAACTTGCCAACTATAGTATCTCAGAGAGTTCTCTTAGTTATCAAGTCCTTCCTGTCAGGTGGATCTATGAAGATTGTTGTTAATAGTCAACGATGGTGTCCCCTAAGGTTCTCTCCTTGGTCCTACCTACTTTTTGCTTAATATTAACGATCTGTCTAAGAACATTCTCAGATCCTTAGTGAATATATATACAGATGACACCACAGCATGTGGGTGCACCTCCAAATATCGAGATGATCAGTGCCTGGCAACTGATCTCTGACAGAATTCTTACAGCTTGGGGCTGGTTTTATTTAATACCCCCAAAACAAGACAAGTAACATTTCAACACCGCCAAGCAGATTCTAAACTTGCATCCTTGCCTTAAACGTCTATTGGGCCCAAGGCTCACTCTTGAATTTTCAAATGGAATGCATATATTCAGTGTCATTGCTAAAGATGTTGGAAGAATGGTTGGTCCCTTGTATCACTCCAAAAATACTTAATTCCTGCTGCTATGCTCCATCTTTACAAGAGTCAGATCAAGAATGGAGTATTGCTGCCATATGAGAGCTGCTGCTGCTGCCAAGTCCTCATTGTCCAGCCTTGACAAAGTTCAAAAGCCTTTACGAAGCCTTGTAAGTGATGAATTATTCACCACTCTACGGCCCTTGTCCCACAGAGGAAAAAATACTAGCCTCTCACTACTCTATAATGCTATTACTATGGCAGATGTTCAAACCAGGTTACATTCTTTAGTGCCACCTACTTGGACCCACACCTGTCATAAAAATGGTGGCAAACCATTCCCATTGTGTTCTTTTGATAAAGAGGAAGCTTCTTCACCAAAACTGTTACTTTGTGGAACAGACTCCCAAGAGGATGCTTCCCAACCAACTACAATCTTGGTCCATTAAATCCAGTGTCAACTAGCATGAGAAGTGATCAACCTGCCACCCAATGACACGTTGAAAGACAAATACAAAAAGAGGGAACAGAACTGATTTTTTTACAAAAGCCATCTAGAAAAAAGAATATTCTGTTTTAAAACAGAATTAACACAATTTCAATATTTGGCACACCATTTTCGTGAGAAGACTTGTATATTCGGTGCCATCGCAAAAGATGCTGAAAAAAATGATTGGTTTCTTGTATCACTCCAGAAAATACCAAACTCTTGCTGCCATGATCCATCTTTACAAGAGTCAGATCAAACCAAGAATGGAGTTTTGCAGCCATATCTGGGCTGGTGCTGCACAGTTTTTACTCTCCAGCCTCAACAGAGTTAAAAGTGATTACGCAGCCTTATGGGTGATGAAATCTCCGCTCTGCAACCTTTATTCCATAGACAAAGTATTGCTCACCTCTCACTAGTCTCACTGCTATTACTGTGGCAGATGTTTGGACAAGTTACATTCTTTTATCATGTCAGCTAAGACCCACCCCACATGACATGTTAACCATGGCAAACCATCCTCATCCCCAGAACTTATTTTGTGAAACAAACTCCCAAGAGGATGTTTCTTTGACAACTATACTCTTGATCACTTCAAGACCAGTAACTATCCTACACATTCTCATAATGTGCATATATTAATCCCTCCTTCTGCCTCCATAAGTAACTCTCTACAGTGAGGGAATTACCAGTATAATAATAATTTAAAGAAAAAAAACTGATTACCTAATTCAACAATTTCATCAACAAAATAAAATGTCCAAATGAAATTGATTTTGTTTTTTACGGCTTACAAACCTTCTTAAGTTATTTAACCCTTTAACATTCAACCCGTCCTGTAAATATTGGCTTTCATTGTTCAACTCACCATAATCTGCCCCATGTACACTCAGCCATAATATATAACATCATCGCATAATAACACAAGAAGTCACACAAACAGACTTTGAGAGCCGATATTTATGGGCATGGTTTTGTGTGTGTTGAATGCTAAAGGGTTAAAGTCAAAAAAATATTTTTAGATTGTAAGAACTTTTTGGAGATAATTTTTATTTATACAAATCTTACTAATTAACCCATAACTGGGGGGAAAAGTGGGATTCATACATTTCCCAATGGTATTTGCACATAAGTGAATATAATGAACCCAATTGGAACTTGGTTCTTCAATTCTGAGCCCTTATCCATTGCAACAATTGGCATTCCCAAATGGTCACCTATCTAGGTACTGACCAGGCTCAACATTGCTTAACTTTGGAGATCATATAAGAACTGGTGTCTCAACATGATACATCTGTAAGGCCGATTGAGTTCACTTTCAGATATGAATGGTTGATTAAAATAAAAGATACTTTGCTTGGAATGTTAAATGTTCTTCAAAATTACAGACAAAATATAAAAGACTAACCTTTGTATCTGATTCCACACCATACACAATAAAAATATGTATTCCGTAGGTAACAAGTCAGCATTTCTAATTTTTCTTGAGACTGAGTGAAAGAGAACAAGAGGAAAAATTTATTATATATATATATATATATATATATATATATATATACACACACACACAGTGTAACCCGGATATAAGAGAGATTTTCTCTGGTCCCAAATTAGAGCCTGTGTTAATGTATATAAAATAGACCAAACCCGGATATAAGAGACTTTGTCTCCGGTCCCAACAACTCTCTTATATCCAGGTTACAATATATATATATATATATATATATATATATATATTACCAGGCAAAAAATTTACAACACATTACAAAAAATGTCTCAAGTATTTCTAACACAGATTAATGAAACTTTTACTGCTAATAATACATATGTTTAAGCCTTTAATCAAACAATCATATTTGAAAAATAATCAATAAAAATATCCCACAAAGAAAAACTAATATTTAATAATGCAAAAGTGTATAATACATTTATTAAATCATCTGTTAATATTTCGTAGTGTAACCGTTATTGCTAATTCCAGCATATAGGCATTTAAAGTAGTCCCCTACAAATTTCTTGCATGTTTCTTGGATAATATTTTTCCATTCTTCACAAAATTCCTTTAGTTCATGCAGGTTTCGCAGGTCGTTTTTTGAATTTTCAGTTTAAGCCCTCTTCACAAATTTCCGATTGGATTGAGATCTGGAGATATACTTAGCCATTTTAGAACGTCTATCATATTTGAACCTAACCATGACTTTGTAAGCTTTACTTAGGATCATTGTATTGTTGAAAGACACATCCTAGTTGCAAGCCCAGTGAATGTGCACTCTGACATAAATTTCTCTCCAAAATATTCCTATAATATGCTCCATTCATTCACACTTCTATTATTTCAATGTTCCTTACACCTTGGGCACTAAAGCAGCTATAGATCATGATTGATCCACCTCCAAATTTTACTGTTGGGATAGTATTCTTCAGTGGATTTTCAGTACCCTTCTTTCTCCAGACCTTTGCCACAGCATTTCTGCCAAAAAAGTTCAGTTTTTACTTCGTCTGACCAAAGCACATTTTCCCAAAATACTGCAGGTTTCATACAATGCTCGTTTGCAAAATTCAGTCTATCAAGAAAGTGTTTTCACTTCAAAAGTGTTTTTTTTTTTCTTCTTGGAGTACTTGTAAAGAGGTCATATCGATGAAGTGAACAATTAATTGTATCCGTACTCACTTTTACTCCACTTATTTCTAGTTCTCCCTGAAGTTCTTTAAGCATAACTCGAGACTTGTTGCCAACTTTTATCGCTAATAATCTTGCCATATGTTCCATTACCTTTCTAGGATGACCAGAGCTTTTTTTTGGGACAAATGGAATGACACATCTTCCAGTGACAAATTATCATACCAACTGAACTCAATGGAACATAACTTCCTATAACCAAGTCCATTTGTCTAAAAGGCAACAATACATTTACGGAGGTCTTGAGCAATGATTTTGCTTTTTCCCATTTTGTCATTGGTTAAAGGATGGTTGACAGAAAAAGAATGACGCAATACTTTTAATCATTCCAAAAAGTAATCATAAAATTAATCTGGAATATTCTGAAAAACAACTCCATCCCAATTTGGAACATTCTAGTAAAATTTGAACACTTTTATAAAAGAAGCTGTTATAAATAAAAAAAAAATGTACTGTAAACTTTTGACTTCCTAAATATCGGTTTTTCTTTGTGGGATACCTTTTTGGAAGTTTTTTAAAAAATCTGATTGTTTGACTGAATTCTACAAGCAGTATAAGTTTAATTAATCTAACTTTATAACAAACACCTAAAAAAAAAAAAACATTTTTTTGTAATGTGTTGTGAACTTTTGTGTGGCACTATATATGGGGAAAAAACAAATTTTTATATTTCAAGAACAGTTTTAAGGAAATCGATGACAAAGCGGAAAAAGATTTTGTATGAGCCATTTCATCCTTTTAAGAAAAGCTTACATTGATGCCAACATCACATGAAGATGAGGGGAACACTGAGAATTTTACATTTAATTTAATTTTTTTTTTAAATAATCTAGCCAATTTCATTTAGTTTCTTCTTATGCTTTTAACATTTGTTATTAAATATCTTCTATTACCACAATTTAATAACAATGATAAAAACAAAGAATTAAATCAATTCAACTATAGACATATATAAAAAAAAAAAAAGAAATGAAATTAAAATTCTCAGTGTCCACTCTTCTTCGTGCACATGTCTAGTCACATCAACATAAACATCATTTTGTATCAATGAAGTCCTAAAGAGAGACTTGCATCAAACAATAACTTTTTACATTTTCTCAGTTTTTCCCTATATATATATATATATATATATATATATATATATTTTAGCCATTTCACCCCAAGCAAGGCAATAAAGCCATTAAGACACAAGTGTTTAATAAGTGTTAGAGAATACGAGAAAAAAAAATTATTGAAAGAGAACAATAAAAGAATTAAGACAGTAGATAACAATTGAAGATCAAAGTTGACTGGGAATCAAGAAACCAGAAGTTTGTTCCACATGTGAGAAGTGTGATCAAAGAAACTTAACTTACAGTTACATCTAGCCATTTTAATTGTAAAATGATGAGACCTTGCTGCCAATCTAGTACTGTGATTAAATTCATAAAGTCTACGTACCATAGAGAAAAGTTCATCAGAACAATTACCATGGAAGTATTTATAGAAAAGACACAGGGAACCTACACGATAGTGATGGAAAAGTAACTGACAGTGAGATGCCAGGCCAACATAACATTGCAGATTCTTCTTTGGATTTTATCAAGAATCTGTAAATAGCAGGAGCACCAGACAAGCTGTGGGAGCTGTATTCAAAGCATGGTTGAATGATAAACTTATAAATATGCAAGATAGATTCTGGAGAGAAAAATTATCTAGCATGACACAGTGACTCAACTTTCCTAGCAGTAGACCTAGCAATGGATTGAATATAACTTTCTACTTGACATTAAGCAGGAAGATACATACATACATATATATATATATATATATATATAAAACGTTAGTCTAAGAAAGCGCAATGAATCACTCTCTTGGAGGTTAGAATCAGCTATGTTGATGGAAGATAAAAAGGGTTCTTCCAGACTATTAAAAGACTTCAGTTTCATTTGGAGGCATTAAAATTAGCAATCCATTCCTTGCCCCAGTTAATCAGTCAGTTATGTGTCATGCGTGATACACTCTTAGGCGATCATGTATCTTTCGATACATGACTGACGAGGCAGATTTTTTCCTGCAGTAGGTTGCCATTTCTTTCTGCAGTAGACCAGTTGCCATCCAAGGCTATAGAACCAGGTCTGTCCAAGGGTATTAGCATGTAAGTGAATGTAATGGATTCAACTGGAATTTGAACTCGGGTCTTCGATTCCTTAATCCGAGCTGCTATCCATTACTCCACTATGCCCCCAGTTAATAACAGATCATTTTTTTTAGATCAGCTGCCAATTTGACTTTATCAAACAATTAAGATGGGCATAAAAGGTTGTGTCATTAGCATAGATATTGGGTTGAGAACTGATGCTATATGCCATCAGGAAGGTTGTTAATGAAAATTAGAAACATGGGTCCAACGATAGAGCTCTGAGGGACGCCTGTATTAATGCAAAAAGAAGAGTGGCTGTTCAGGTCAATTTTCATTTCCTGATTCGAGAAGACTAAATCAGTTCAAAAATTCATGCAAAAGTACCACAACCTTTTAACTTGGGAAGAAGACCAGTATGCCAAACCCTGTCAAAATGCCTTCAAGATGTGTCCAAAGCAACAGCCCAAGCTTCACCATTCTTATCTGAAGCTTGACAGACTATTTCAGTAATAATTGCTAATATATCAGTAGTTGATCTAGAGAAGTGAAAACAATATTGCTTATCTAAAAGAAGCCCCTGTGATGTGAGATGCTTAACCAATTCAGAGTTAATTAGAGGCTCTAGTACTTTATCAAAAAGAGGTAGAAGGCTAATAGGCCAATAGAAGAATCAGCTGTTTTTCCTGAGTTCTTAAAGACTGGAACTACAAAAGAGGATCATTTTATATATATATATATATATATATGAGAGATTGAATAAACAAGAGATAAAGAAAAGTAGTTTGATGAAAATTTTTAGCTGTATGTAAACATTTTGGGACTCACAGTATAAAGATCCATGATTGGATCTGATGGTTCTTCACTTTCTTCTTCTTCCTCTTTGGCAGATTTCTTTTCTAACCAATACACTGGCCAGAAAAACCATTCCTTTGGCTCTTCAATATTCTGCAAAAAGAAATTGGATCCTCCAATTACATAATGTTTTGATAGACTCAAAAAATTGATGAACATTGTGCAGTGTAAGGAGATTTGAGTTTCTTTTTTTTTTTTTAATTAGAAACACACACACACACAAAACTGGCATGAAATTAAATGGGCCTCAAATTTTAATTGAGAAGTAACATTACTTGATGAATAGAAATTGAATTTGAATTGAATCCATTTGATTCTTCTCATAATAAGTTAAAAGTATAATCTAAAAATATACTCATAAAATTGTGCATGATTACATATATAAAGTAAGGGATAATGGTAATATTAGCAGTTTCCTCATAAGGAAACATTCTGCATTCTTTGACCGAGTAGTTAGTTTTTACTTTTGGTTGAGATTTGTAAAATCTTTCTCTTAAACCAATTTTTCAGGAAAATCAGTTTCCTGAAGTCATGTAGATTCTCTAGAAGATTCAAAGTAGGATGGTCTTTGACAAGCCCCTTACATTTCACTCAATCAAAGCCATTTTTAACCATTGATCTGAAAAAACAGTTGTACCTAGCTGTTTTTTTTTTTTTGGGGGGTCCGGGGGGTCACAGCTTACTATTTTTATGGCTTTGTGGATTTTTTAAACCCAAACCATATTTTTAGATTGTAAGAATAATTTATATTTTTGAGTGAATACTGCATAAACAATTTCATGGGCAATAACAATGATTTTTCCAGATACAAGTCCTACTATTTAACCCATAGCTTGGGTTGTATAGCTAACAATTAGGATTAGTTTTGGCAATGTTGATTGATTAGTTTGTTTTTACAGCTTTCAACTCTTTGTGGAATATTTAAAGCAGAAATATATTTTGGAATGCAAGATTTTTTTTTTTTTTTTGGAGAGTGAATTAACACTCTTTTTAGGAATAACAATGATTTTTCCAGAACAAATCCTACTATTTAACCCATAACTGAGGAGAGAAGAAAGTATTTGTGTATAAGTGAATGTAATGAACTCAACTGGAAGTTGAAATTGGCTCGACAATTTCTCATTCTGTGTTCACTTTGGCAAGGCATAGAACCTGAAAACCACACACCTACTATGGTTACAGTGAAGACATTGTCAGAAGGATGTTGGATGTGGTCAATGGTAGAATCTAACAGACCAGATGTTTAACATTGAACTGCAATGGTATCAGACAAAAGATCCTTCATACTGGACAATGAAAGTGACCTAATTATTGCGATTCAGATGAAAAACTGTGGGAACACATAGAGTAACACCTTTTGTCTCCTAATATATGTACAGCTGAAACCCCTATGATGACACATGGGACATCTCAACAGTCCAGCTAGTTGTCTGCAATGCAGGCAGCCATATGTATTCAGCAATAATAATATTCTTTGGGAATAACCTTTTGTATGTGAATGATGTCTTAATCAATGTCGTTTTAAAAAGGAAACATTTTCAATTGATTGTGAATTTATTCTTGCTAACTCTATCTTGTTACTTTATTATATACATCAAGTTTATTTTATCCTTTTCATTTGCATCTATTTCTTACACTATTTACATTTTTTGGACTATTGTCCTCATCTTTGTCGCCATATTTATTACAATGTTTCGTCCATTGTATGCTCCGGCCTTCTTCAGGTGGTTGGAATATCGAACTGAACCCTTTATTTCAGTCACTGTGGTAGACTGTTCTAGTTCCATATGCCATGTTTAATGGATGTCAGTTATCAGTTATCTCCTGTTAATTCCCCTCTGCAAGTTTTCCACTGCCTTAACCGGGTATTGAACTCACACTCTTTGGGTCTGTCACTGGATCTAACCAATGCCTTTATCCACTGTGCCATGTGCCATAATACCTCATCTCAGAAATATAGACAGATATCTATTTCTTAGTTTATCCAATCCACTTATTCAAATGAAAGACAGTTAAAGAGAGATTAATTGCTTTGTTTTTTAGAGCTTATCAACCCTTTGTGGGTTATTTAAAGCCAAAAATATTGCTGGAACATCAAAAATAAATAAAACTAATCAAATAAATAAAAATACAATTTCAAATTCCCAACTTCGTCAAGTCTAAAAACAGACTTGCTCTCAATTAATGCAAATGTAGCAGTAAGCACACCACATAAACCTTCCTAATCAATGGGAGCACAAATAAAAAAAAATATTAAATTTTGGCTTTCATTTGGAGCCTATCACCAGGCTATATAGGAACACATCCACAGTAAGCTCATACAGAAATGACATGTAAGAATACCAATAACAATCACCAATCATTCAGAGCAACAAAAGGAAAATAAAAGTTTTCCCCCCCCAAACACCAACTACATCAATTACAGAAAAAGAAACTTAAGTGACTTACTTCTATCTTTAAACACACACACACACACACACACACACCTCTAAACAGACTAATAGGGGGGAGGGGAGTATTAAAACCAATTGTCCATAGATGGGAAGGGATTATTTTTGAGTAATAAAACCACTATAGTAACTACCAGTTTTTATGGTCATAATGTCAATACTATAAACATGTATAGATGGCATAAATAAATATATACTTAATAGATATATTAATCAAAATAGCAAAAATAACAGATTTCTCACAGATACATTAGTATGTGTGTGAGAAAGTATCATAATTTATATACTGTACACCCATCTTTGTTCATAATTGAAAGACCGGTCACCACCGCTAAGCAAACACTCTGAGAATTAATATGATTTGTCCCACTAAGCCCACAAATTTTGAAATATATCGCTGATGATTTGGAAGCTTATTTTGCCTGTGGATTTTGTCCATTGCATCTGAAATCCATTGAGGTGGGGTCCATAGATGAGATGTTTGTCTGTATATATTTACAGGATGATTGAGAAGTAACTCCCTATTTTATGTAAGATGGACTCGCCTGTCTATGATTTTTACAAGACTGGAAAGCCCATCATACATAAAATAGGGAGTTACTTTTCAATCACCCTTTATATATTTCCATATCTACACATTACTCACACATGCATCCATATACAAACATTTATTTTCTCAACTTGGTTACAATAAACCTTTTACGAACTCTCTTTAACCCTTCTAAGAACACCTTTTCTCTTTCACCTGATTGTTACCATTGTTGTTTATTTCCTTGATTTGATTCAACAGTAAAGCACCATTGGCTTATCTTTTATCTCATTTGACCATGGTTTGCTACATCAACTTCCTCTTAATCTAAAGGGAATGAGCAATAAAAAGCTTCACCATCAAAACAAAGCTGGCAACAATCAGCAACAGCTGACAAGACAATATTTTGGATTTCTAAGAATTCTTTTCTGTGAGTGAATATTGCATTAACAATTTTTTTTTTTTTGAGAATAATTTTTCAAATAGAAATCATACTACTTAACCCATAGCTGAGGGCAGAGATGGATTCATACCTTTTCCAATGATATTTGCCAGTAAGTGAATGAAACCCAACTTGAATTTGAACTCAGCTCTCTGATTTCTCATATCAAGCTGTAATTGATTACACCACTGACACATCCTCTGTTAAATGGGAAAAGATTCTTACTTATTTATCTGAACTGATTATGGCTGACCCTTACAATACACATGTAAGTGTAAGCGTTCTCAAAGCAAATTTGTCGCAGATTACTTTCACAACACAAAGAAAAATCACTAAGTACAGAAATGCTGAAAACTCGATTCGCCGGTACTATCTTAAATCACAATGCGTGTAACCAGTCAGATAATAACTCACACTCCAACAAACGCCGAAATAGCTTGTAAGTGTAAGCGTTCTCAAAGCAAATTTGATATGCAAATTACGGAGCATCCTATCCCAGCTGTCGACGAATTAAAAAAATAGGTTCTGACGATAAAAGCAGTTGTGTTCTCGATTCGGAGGAAGGAAAATTCGGGCATTTTTGGCTACGGCGTTTGTTGGAGTGTGAGTTATTTTCCTGACTGGTTACACACATTGTGATTTAAGATAGTATCATTCTTCTTTGAACTTTTGGTACAGTTCTTTGTGATTCTGTATCACAAGTCCACAAAGTTCACTTTCTGAGCACTCACTGCTAGTGTCACTTGTTGACGTATCTGTACCTACATAGCGACGCAAGTCCTTTATGTGTCTTGGTATGCCATCAACCAGCACAGAGCGCGAGTTACTTAGTCCAGTGACAACACATTATCTTTTGTGTCAATTACAACATTCATCAGCACACAGTCAAAAAGATACTTACTGCTTTACCATCGAGTTCATCACAAACCCTTTGACTTTTTGCCAGATCAGTCTCAAATTCCCGTTCAGTAAATTTCTCACTCATTCTCTGTTGGAAGCCACTCTGCTGTTGATGGTAAACTTTCTGCCGTTTATGCATCATTTTAGCTCGCATTTGACTCATCTCTTCCTGCCTTTGCTTCCGCTCACTCTCCATCCCCAGTCCTTCACGATTGTTCTTTACACTAATTGATACAGGTTCGGCACGACCTTGACCTGTGGAAAGACAAACGGTAATTTTTGGTATTTGAGAAAATTAAAACAAATCCTGTACTTCAAAAAAAGCACACATCATTTCTGTTTACATCCTCATCTTGTTCAATATGATTACAAATAGGAAAGAAAATATTCTTTCAATCATGCTCCTTATGGATTTTAGACTTTTGTTACTTTAGTAAATTTAAAATGAATTCTGTTCTTGAGAAAATGCAGTGCATTATTTCTATTTATTTTTCTTGTTTTCTTCATTAAGAACACAGCAAATATTCTTTCACCCATGCTCCTTATGAATTTTAGAATTAGATATTTGCAAAAACTAAAACAAATTCTATTCTCTAGAAAATGCAGTACATCATTTGTTATTTTTTTTTCCTCTTCTTTAATTGCCAAAGAAAGTATTCTTCCACCTATGCTCCTTATGGATTTTAAACTTTTGTTACTTTGGAAAATTTAAGTAAATTCTATATCTATTTATATTTCTGAGATGAGGTATTTATTGTAACTATTTACATTGTTCGGACTGTTGTCCTTATCTTTATTGTTATGTTCACAACGTTTCGGCCATTGTACACTCCAGCCTTCATCAGATGAATGGAATTTCTAACTGAACCCTTTATTTCATCAAGGACACATGGCTCAGTGGATGAAAGCGTTGGTCGAAGTAATCCAGTGACTTGATGCAAAGAGTTGTGAGTTTAACACCTGGCCACAGGTAAACAAAAACTTGGAGAGTTGAGTTACTAAAGGGAAATAACTGAAACCAAGATATCCTGAAGAGGCATGGCACATGGAACTAGAACAATCTACTCTGGTGGATGAAATAGAAGGTTCAGTTCAAAATTCCAGTCACCTGAAGAAGGCTAGAGTGTACAACAGTTGAAAAATTGTGAACAAAAATGAGGAAAACAGCCTGAACAATGTTTTGTGATATCAACAAACACTTGTTGCCACTTTTGTAATGTCAACAAATACTCATTGTCACTTTCATAATGCTCATTGTAGTAGAGACTTTGTAATCGCAGATACAACGATATAGTAACATCATTGAACAAAACTGATATCAGACGCCTTCAACACTCGCACTAATAGTATTTGCTCAATAATACTCAATCGAAAAGTAACTACCGAATAATGATCCATATAGTGATCACTTAGATGCCACGCTAATTCCCATATATACAATTCCTTTACTATCATGTGATCTACTTATTCAAAATGGGATCGCCTGTGTTTGCTCTCTGGTGATTCGTGTTCAAACTCTAGTGTTGGCAGTGACACCTTATTCTTATATAACACAATGTAAATAATGCATAAAGTAAATTCTCTTCCCCAGAACATTCTTCCCTCATAAGAGAGTCAAAAAGATCTGATACGATTTGTTGTTAGCCAGACTATCTCAGAAGATCATAAAAATCCCCAAAAGAATCTTGTTTTGGTTCATTACAATTTGATAGTTTTGTATGAGGTATTATAAAAAAAAATTGTTTGTAGAAACAATTTCCTTATTTAGTTACCTCCCCCAACCCATTACCCACAATTTTTTCCCCTTGCTTTTAAATGTTTTAAAATAAATAAATAAAGCAAGAGTTACCTTCCTTGCCCAAAGCAGTTCCTGGTTTGAAGCCCATTTTTTGCAGAAGTGCAAAACCTTTGTTATCTTTTCCAATCTTTGAACTCAAGCCATCATCTCTTCTCATCTTCTCACTTTCCTTTTTACGTTTTAACTGGTTTTGTTTGTTGGCTTCCTGTGCATTTTTTTCCAGCTGGTATTGGCGACTGGTTGACTTTGACACCAGACCAGGTCTCAGGTTAATA